TTTAGATGCAGACGAGAATCACCTATATTTTCCGTCACGTAACGTATAATCCCATCCTAACCTACTTTCGACAGCGTTTAAAATCAGCACATGACTAGGAATATTACAGATTTTTTTTTGGATTTTCTTTATATTAAAGACGTGCGCGCATCGTTTGCGTGGCCCTGAAATTGTCCATATACTACAGACATAGCTGACTACTCTGGCTGAGCTCTGGCACGGTCACACTGGCAATTAGTGGCCTCAAAGCAAGGGGAAAAAAAGTGGGAATGTCAATAATTAAAAGTCGGCCAAATGTTGTCATTTGTCCTCAGCGCCGCAAAGCGACTTCCTGCCGCCCACAAAGCATGCACACACACACACATACGCTATATACACACACACACACACACAGTACACCACCCGTATATAGCTGTTTGTGGCGTGCAAGTCGCACGTCCTTGCGAGCCTTTTGCCATTGTTGTTGTTGCTGGCATTTTGATTTATCGATTTAAATTTTGTTGCCGTCTGTTTGGTTAGCTTTTCCTTGCGCTTTTCCTACATTTTCACATTAGCAGCTCAATCATTATTTTTTCTCTTATTTTGTTTTCTTTTTTTGCCTTTTAAATACTTATGCTTAATATTTTTTTTGTGCTTTTTTCTATTTTTTTAAAACATATTTTGACCGCCTGCCGTTTGGGTCGAGGTCTTTTGCAGCGCTTTTCGGGGGTTTGAGATTGCTGCCACTTCTTCTTCTTCGTTTTATGCCACCCACGACAAACGTCGTTAACAGTCACGTTAGCGTGCGAGTACGTAACAAACACACACACACAATCACAAGTGTACTATAAGCTACTGTGTGTGTGTGTGTATGTGTTGTTGTTGTTTTTATTATAGCAGCGCGCGCAATTTGGGTCGATGGTAAAATAGAAAAGCCAAAAGCAAGGCGAAACCAAAAGCACACACACACACACAGACACACACACACTCAGAGTGACACGAACATTTCCAGCAAAGGTCGTTTCGAGTAGACCAATGCACATTTATTGCTATATACATATGTATACATTTATACACATACATATCATGCCATCTACAGCCCGGGACACGTAAGTGGGAACACACATTGTACATTAAAAATGGATTTGAATCGAATTTGCTTGGCAGAATAATTTTTTTAAATAAATGTTTATTAAAAAGGTGACAATAGATAAGCCGTGATTCGTTACGAGATGGTACATAAATGGAAAGAAATCCAAAAGTGCTAAATTCTCTAAATGTATTTAGTAGATACATACATAATCTGGCATTTGCTACTTTAAATAAATCCTAATCATATGTTTAGGTTTTTATACCTGTACCTTCTGTACCTTAAGCCATATGTCTATAAGGTTTTCTAATTATCAACGATTTGCAGATTCTTTGTTATATTTTTAGTTGAATTCGCATTTGAAGATTACTTCAACCGTGGAAATTGGCCTTAATTTTATGGCCAGCACTGTGTGCACACATGCACCTATGTTTTCTCTCTCTCTCTCTCTACCTCTGTCTTTCTCTATCTATCTCTCCCCCGTTCTTTTTGTGTGTGTTCGCGCACTTTGTCTGCTCTTTTTGGACATTTTCTGGAACTGCTTTGGTTTCATGTTAATTGCTCGTAGCGTCGCTTGTTCCGGCAATCTGCGTTAATTTTAAAGCTTGATTTACAGACTACATCTAGTCCTTGATGTTGTTGTTGTAGTTGTTGTTATTGTAGCTGTTGTTGTTTTTGCTGTTCTGCTGTATTTCTGATTGTTGTAGCTGCTGTCGTTTTGCGGTTGCAGCTCAACTGCAATTTGCGCCCCAAAGCACACAACAAAATATTTTCCTTTTAGTTTCGTGTGCGTGTATGTGTGTGTGTGTTTCCGTTACATTGTCCCTGCATGAGGTCACATGGGAGCATAACGAGGCATTTAGGCCCATTCGTATATATATATGTATATATATATATATATATATATAATAGGCGTAAGATGTACATTTAAAGGGTTTCTACAATTTGTGGTCATTTAGTAGAAATACATAAGCTTCAATATATTAATACCAGCAAAGGGAGCAGCATTTATCTTCAAAGGATGTTTAAGATTTATTATTCTTGTTGACGTATATAACAAATGTGCTGCCACTTAATTGTTTTAATAGGAACATTTTTAATTTTGATTGTTCCCATGGCAGCTATATGCTATGGTTATCTAAAGTTGGTATATCTAACAACAAAAAAGATTTCAGCTATTGCTCAAATGACAACTATATGATAAAGTATATCGCACGACTTCAACTCATGTACACCCCGCAATTAAAAGCAGACCTATTTAAAATATCATTAGTATAACAGATAGAGAATTAGTTTAGTTTTAATAAAAATATTACACATTTTCTGCATTCCTCTTACTATCACCCCTTATAGAGTATCTCTAAATTCGAATAAGCTCCATAAAATGTAACTCGCCTGCCGCTTGTTTTGGCCCACTCTTTTGTTGTCGGCCACTTTGCCGCATGTGTGTGCAGCAGACAGATAGAAAGTGAAACAGGCGGGCGAGAATAAATAGAGAAAGGGAGGGAGAGCGATAGAGAGAGAGTGGTGAGCTGCCTGGGAGACAGCACAGTTGAGTCATTAAAATGAGAAATGGCTCCAGGGTGCGCTCGCCTAGGCAAACATTGTACCACGTCGTGTTTAATTGTTGTTGTTGGCCCAAAAATAAAAAATAAAAAGTTCTGTGTGGCCCGCAACGTAAGCAGCAGTTGGCCAAATAAAAGGTGAACACGAGGTTTTCACAACTTGACTTTGCCCCAAGCCCGGAAAATGCACAAATGCAGTTGAGCTCAGGCCGAAGAGTAGCTCAGAATTCGTTATTACGATATGCGAGGGGGTGTATGTGTGTGGAATTTTTATGTGTGCGTGTGTGTGTGATGCTTTTGTGTATGTTAGCAGCTGTCCTGGTCGCTTCAATTATTTATGTTTGCAAACGTTGCGTATACGTAATTTATGCGCGAGTTTATGGGATTGCGGGCATATTGCATATTACGTATACGCCGCGTTCAACTTAGAAACAATTTCAATAAATGTTTTATGATATTCTCTTAGGAACAAACAATATAAATTTCAATAATAAATCATTTTTGTATTTACGTAACATATAAATATGACGTATACGCAGAACTCAACTAAGAAACAATTTTAACAAATGTGTGAACTAACGAAATACAATTTAAAAGGAAATATTTTAGGCATGTTTCAAGAGAATCGTTTTAAAAACAACCAAATGAAATGAAGTAGCATATAAATATGACGTATACGCAGGGTTCAACTGAAAAACAATACAAATAAATGTTGTGTGAATTATCGAAATGCAATTTAAGAAGAAATAATATACGAAAGAAATAATATTAAAGAAAATAACCAAATAAATAGAGTTAAATAGAAATATGACGTATACGCAGAATTTAATTAAGGAACAAATTTAATAAATGTGTGGACTAACGATATACAATTGAAGACGAAATAATTTGCGTGAGTTTTTGAAGAAAACCTCAAAAAAATAAAGTAATTTATAATTATTACGTATACGCAGTGCTCAGCTTAGGAACAATTTTAATATATGTTCAATAGTATACTTTCAGAGAAGAAGTCAAAGCAAAATGCATTTATTGTTTATATATTTAAAAAGAAAACAACAAGAATATAATTATATAATTATTAAACTATTTGTTTCTTTTAATTTTTATCTAGTGAGCCCTATTGGCATTCCCAGAAAATTTTCTAATTTTGTATCCTCAGCTTCTTCTATTCACGCGGAAAATATCAGTTACTGCCAAGTTACTTATATTTACACAGTAGATTTATTTTATAATAAGCAACGGAAATACGGAAATTTTACTGATTGTATAATACTTTATACTTTTTACTCTAGCAGTTTCAAGCATAAAGATATTTTGCACAAATAGATAATAATAGAAAATAAGATAGCAATCAGCATCAAAAATAATTTAAAAGGCTTAAATATAACAAATTAAATACGTGTTTTTTACTGTTTTATTTTTTTTAATGTAAAGCTAATAAATTTTAAAAACTTGTGAAATTTACTCACTCCAATTAATTTACGCTCGTCAAATTTAAATGTTTATTTTTTCTGTTTTTCTTGCTCGTTTTTATTACATATTATCATATAATATCGCACTTACGCATATTCCCATATACTTTCTATCAGTTCGTTTAGCTATGCAAGTCTAATTCAATTTGATGCTACGAGAGAAATCTTTATGAACCACCACCTCCCTCCCCCCCCCCCCCTCCAGCCCTTTCTTGATTGAATTGTACATTGCCTGTCGCATAAATCACTTATACAGCTGCTTTCCTTCTGCCCCCTTTGCCTCATTTAAATACAAATTCCATTAGTCATAGTCGCAGGCAAAAGGCAAAATCACGCATTAGCCGTGTTTGTTTTGCGCGAGTGTGTACATGTGTGTGTGCTTGTGTGTACTCTGAGGGAGTACTAACCCAGATGAAAATCTGGCTCTTGATGACATGCCTATCGCTGACGTTTTCAATGCCATTTCATGAGCTTACAAGACGACCCAACGAAGGTGTTTCGCCCGTTGACATACTCAAGAACATGCCAAAAGTTTCGTAATGTATTCTTATATTTATATAAAGGTTTGTCCTGCCTGACTGATTGCCATTTTATCTAAAATTTTAAGTAAAAAACTTGGCTCTGGCAAATCCGGGCAATACCCGCTGGTGATATATCAAAAGAAAAAGCTCCCAGACTCGATTCCAAAGACAACATTGAAGACATTTCATTCAGAGTGTCTTGCAAGACAATTATCAAGACAGGTCATCAAGATAGTCCTGCCGGACTTTCAAAGTTACGTTAAAGGCGATGTCAAAGAGTAAAAGGGACAAGGTCTGCAGAATACCGACTGGGTCTCTCAGAGATTGGAAGTGTGGCTTGGCTGGGATTTAAAAATAAGATGTGTGCACTTACCATTGGAACTGTGTTGATTGGGCACATTATCCTGCCGGCCGTTTAGCTCACGCCCCTCCTCCTGGTCCAGCTCCTCCTCGCCAAACATTTCCGAGGACTGATAGAGAATTTCAGCTTCGTCCTCATTCGATGTTTGCGATGATTTCACTTGATAAGTGGGCGGCACGTCGGCCATGTTGTTAAACGTTACATCGTTGTTTTGTGCCGGCTGTTGTTGTTGTTGTTGCTGCTTGTGCTGAGTGGCGCTTTTGGGCTTGTGGGCCTGGACGCTGCAGAGCAGCAGCAGCAAAAGCAGCGGTAAGCAGTAAAGCGGCTGAACACGCCTATGGGCGTGCCTGTTGTGGTTGTTATTGTTGTTGTTTGTTTTGTTAGTTGTTAATGTTAATAATACTAAGCGTTTTAAAATATTTACACAATCGACAATGCACGCGCACATTATTGATAACAAAAGCTTTGCATGGTGTTTGGTTTGTTTTGGTTTCGTTTGTTGTTGTTGTTGTTGTGTATAAGCAACATTTGCGTTTGTTGCTGGCACTTGTTGGCAACATTTGTCCGCGCTTCGTAGACGACCGCGTCGCCGGCGACTGTTAAAATCTATCGTTGTTGTTGTGCTATTGCTGGCTGGCAGCATGTTGCTAAGGCGCATGTTGCCAAGGCGCATGTTCTTACAGCTTTGAGCTTTAGCTGTATGTTGTTGTTGTTGTTGTTGTTGTTGCTGCTGCTGCTGTTGTTGTTGCTGCTGCTGTTGTTGTTTTTGTTCTCGTTGCTGTTGCCATTGTTGTTTGCTGCATGTTGTTTGCTGCAACATTGGACCCGATAAGTGTTGTTACTGTTGTTGCTGTGGTTGCTTGTTGTTGTTGTTGCAAAACCGTTTGTTCTCGTTGTTTGGGTTTGCTGAAACTTTCTTTCTTTTTTTTTGACTTTGCTGCGCCGTCTAAAAACAGTTCGCTCGCTCTCTCTCCCTCTCTCTCGCTCTGACTTAATTGCTGCTATGCTTTTGCATTTGCACAACTTTTGCTCATTGTTGTTGCAATATCACACAAATTTATATACACTACTATACATAAATAACAATTAACACAGCAACACACTAGACGAGCAACCAAATGTTGTTGCTGCTGCTGCGGCTGCTGCTGACGTTGACGTTGACGCTGGCCGCAGCATTTCCACTACGTAGAGTTTGCGCTCGTATTTGATGACGGCTCTTGGCCAGGCCATGTGAAGGTATGTGTTTTCTTTATTTTTTGGCAAAGGTAAAGCAACGCTGTGTTGTGTGCGTATGTGTGCGTGTGTATGTGTGTATGTGTGTGCTTGTGGAAATATTTCCCTGAGTTTTGCCAGTGTAGCGCGCGCGTCAGGACACAGCACGACTAGCAGGACAGCACTGCTGACGTTGTTGTGGCGCTGCCAGCGACGCTGGCCGTGTGCTGCAGGTCCACTGGAAGGGATACGACAACGGTCCCCAGCTGGAAGGCAGTCAGATCCAGTTTATGGCAGAGTGTATATTATAGCTGTTATTGGTGTTGTTGTTGCTGTTGTTGTTCTCGTTGCTGTTGTTGCTGTTGCTGCTGCGCGTGCGTTGCTTTTGTTTACATTTTCGCATTTACATTGAACTTGCACGAGCTGTTAAATCTGTAAAGAGAGGAGACGATATAAACAGTTAAAGCTATTCAAACTGTTTTAACACGATTGCTTTGAACTGTAAAAGGTTCATGCTCTTTCCTGTAGGTTTCACACTCACGCACACACTCTCTCTCTCTGCATGTGCAGCACATGCATATGCGCTCTTTGGCTCTCACTATCTCTCTCTTTGTTTTATTTCCCTGCTTACACACGCTCTGCTGCTTATCTCAGCGTTCTTATCGCTGCTCACGTTTCTGTTATTGCTTTCGTTTTCTTCTGCTGCTACTACTGCTGCTGCTGCTGTGTTTGTTGTTTTAGCTTACGCTTACAATTTTTACTTTCATTTAGCTTAGTAGGTAACACTCACACGCACAAGCAAACACCCCCTCTTTCTCTCTCTCTTTCGTTCATTGCTTCATTTTTTATGTAGCTGCTTGTGGCTGTCTCTGGGCTCTATGTGCGGTTACGTTCATTGTTATGCTTTGAGTAGCTGCCGCTAATGTCCTACTTCCCACCCACACCATCCACGCCCCCTAGCTCTATGTGTCTGTGTGTTTGTGTGCTTTTGAGTCTCGCACTTTTCACAGCTAGCTTGTGTTTTTTCTGTTTTCTTTTTTTCTTGTAGTATTTTTAGCACTAGGCCATAGCTCAGCCAGGAATTTCGACTCTGCGGGCATTATTATTAATTATGGCATTTGATTCTCTAGAGCTGCGTATAATTTTGTTTAGCTGCAAATTGCGTAACATTTTGTTGTGCTTTTTTGTGTGTTTTTTTTTTATTTTTTATTTTTGAGGGCGCCGCATCTATTTAAGCCTTTACATAGTTGACCAATCTATCAATAATCTTTACTAGAAGGAAATTTTTGATATTTCTGGTTAGAGAAAGTTTGCAGTCCTTTCACTTTTATTCAGAACTAACTAACTATAGCATAGTGTTTAGCGCATTGTGCAAATGTTTTTGTAAAATTTTAAATTTGACAGTAATTGTTATATTAACAAATGCTAAGAAAAATCCTCTTGTTTAAAAGTTTTTTGGTTTTGAAATCTTATAAATAATATATATCAAATCTGATTTGAAAATATGCATAAGCTGGCAGATATATATACATTTTTTTGTAATATTCCAATATGCATGAGTTTTAAAATAAACATAAATCCGAATATATCTAATAATTAGAAAAAAAAGCATCCTTTATACGTTAACCTTAATATCCTTTCCATTTTTACTGCATCTGCTTGACATCATATTTAAAGATTTCTACTCAGTACACATTTCAAAAATATTGTGTTTTTCTATCTATATCTCGTTACACATATTTTCTATTAGTTTTGTAATCCTTCTCATTCAGTTATGAAACTTTTTTTTAGGTTTTATAATTGTTTAATTGTAATTTAATGCCTTTAAATATAAGTTATTTTTTTATTAATATTTAAAGTGTTTAGAATAAGTCTCGAAATGTTCAAAGAATTGTAACTTCGCTTTAAAAGCGATTTGATTGTTATTTTAAATTAAAATTAAAAAAATTAAAATTATATTAGGCAGATATGATATAAATTTATCTTCCATTAGCCTAAGCTTTTAAATCTTCAATAAACCTAAGTTGTAAAACGCACCTGTCAAAATTCACACATGCATTTTAGTAGATAATTTTTTGCAAAACTATATATTTTATATATCAGAGCCAAAATAATTCAAACAGTTTCAGCTAAGCTTTCGATTCCGTTGTTGAGCGCTTACTGCCTCACACATTTTCCACAGCAAACCTTGTGTTTTTGAATAACTGTGCTCGGCATTAATTACGACAACTAAAAGTATGCTATAAAAATGTGCAATTAGTAGCTTTTTCTCTCCCTCTCATTCAACCGCTGCAATTTACAGTTAAAGCTGCGCTTCTTTGAGCTGTGCTCAAGTTTTTACAACTATTATATCATTTACTCGTACACAGCAGCACTTTAACCGGGGCGGTGCCGAAATAAGGGGTTGCCTATTTTTTTTTTCTTGGTTGTCTGTTAAATTTGCTGTCTTTGGGCAGCGACAACAAAGACCTTTGCACACTGCAAAAAACCGTAGAAAAACGAAAGCAACGTTTTGACCTCTTTATAAAAAGCCTGAAGGCACGAGAAGACACACACACGCAGACACACAAGCACACACAAACACATTTGATACAATGGTATTAACATTTCTGCACTCACACAAACACACACACACACAGGCACACACACACACACACACACAAAGACACACGAGCACAAACACAAGCGAGCGCTCGCCTGTCATTTTTTATTGCTTGATTATATAAAATTTGGCTCGGCTTTAATTTTATGGCACTCATTTCAATATCGTTGTGATTTTTGCAATTTGATTTGTTTTTTGTTAGCTTTCATTTGGTTTTCAGGCAACTCTTTTCTAGTAACATTAAAGTGCAATCATTTTTCAACTGTTCACACACGATTAAAAGTTTCTGCACACACACACATGTATATAGTTTTTCCTTGAACGCACCGTCCGCTTATTGGTCCTGCGAGGATGTTGTCAGCGCAGCGCACGAAAACGTTTTGTGTCCTTTGCCAGCGACCAGGCACGAGTCTGGGGCCACAGCTACAAAAGCCGAACGGGACAACGGAACGAACGAACCAACGCGCACACGAGCTCCGCTCGACTGCTTCCAGTCGTGAGCTTGCACAGGAGCTGAGCTTGATTTCTGCAAACTAGTCACATTGCCGACACGCGCGCACTCTCTCCCTCTCCCTCTCTCTCTGTCTCTCTCTCTCTCACACACATTTGCGTGCTCATTCTATGTGCCGCGCTGTGCTGTTTCGTTTTCTTCTTGTTTCAATTTATAATTAATTAATTTATTATTCGTGCGTTTTCATGCTTTAATATTAGCTTGCTCATACTCTCGTTTGGCTCGTTCGCTCTCTCTTTCTCTTCTTTTTTCTCTCTGGCTGAGTTTTGCGCTCTGCCTTCCAGTTTATAGCAAACTTTCAAGCGCAACTGAGAGTAAAGAGCGTCGGCCTGGCTCAGGTAGAGTCTGCCGCCAAACAAATAGCAGCAGAGTAAAAAAAAAATAAATTTGGGCCCGCGTTACAACACTTACAAACACAAACAGACATACGCACTCACACAAACTCACACACACTCATACGCGCACGCATATCCTCACACAATTGTATTTTGATTATGCCCGGTTCGGTACGCCGCATAGCTTAGATATTTCTACGCACAACAATGCGACGTCGTGAAACCGCCCCCGACCAGCTCCCCTCTCAGTATCCCAGTGCCATCTGTACCCTCCTCGCCCTCACAGCAGTCCATTGATAGCCCCAGTTCGCCATATCAAATATTTATAGAAATAAGAAAAGGAGAAGAATTTACGCATAAAAATAAAGACAACGCACTGGCTATGCCCTAATTTAACAGATAATTTGCTAATAAATGGCCGATGTGCATATATCAAATATTATTATCGCCCTTTTAACTTCCCAAGTGAGAGTTTTGTGATAATGCAGCATAAAGTATGCAAAGTATGAAGGAAAAAAAATATTATTGTTATAAAACATTCATCCCCGAGGCGATGGACTTGGTGATAGTATCTGAACAAAATGCGTACAAATAATAAACTATCTTATCTTCTGCTAACGATTATTTAGTTTTGTCTCTAAACTAAACTATTAAATAAATATAATATAATATAGACTATATTAGAAGTATTTAAGCGTTTTTCCATAATCTTTCGAGTACATAATCTAAATTAATAAATTATTGCAACCTCTCCAACGTTTCTAGGGTATACGAGGGAAAGAAGAAAAAAATTGAAGAGCAGGCAAGCGGGGCAAAGTTTTGCACGTTTGTCATAGAAGTGAGCTCTAATAGGCATTTAGATCATTTATTTTATGCACAGTCTTATAATAAAAACGCCAAAATATATCATTTGTAATTATAATTTGTGGGCAGGCCCCGAAACGGGCAAAGGATATGGGGAAGTTGTAGCCCCATCTCTGGCCAGGACACAGCTCTGTCTGCACTTGTCAGATGATAAAGATATTTTTACAAAAGCTGCTGCCAGCCAAACAAATGGCTCAAGTCAACTGTGGCCAAACAAAAGAGTTACGTAACAATGGATATAACTAAGATACAAGAACAAAAATAAACACGAGACGCAATAGACAAACTATAGACAAGTGGAACCTATCCACCAGATGCCCTGCAGCCCAAAACTGTTCGGAAAAATCAAACAAAAGCTGCTTTTATACAAAATTCTATTTAATAAAATACAGAAAAGCCAATTTGCTTGCAGAAATATTATAATATGGAAAGACATAATTTATAATCATCTAACTAGCTGCAAATTGTTGGATGATGTAGTTTTACGGGGGGAGAATCCAGCATAGAAATTTGTAATATGTATTTCTTTTGTGCATTTTGCAAATGATATACTATATTAGTGATATTTTTAAGTAATAAAGTCAACGCTGATTTAAAATAAAAACTCGCTAAAATTCGCAATGTGTTTTAGCCTTAATTGACTGAAAAGGCATGTTTCAAGTATTAGTAACATGCATAATATATACCAAAAATGTATTATTTCCATTCTTATCATTCTGCAACAAATATTTTGATAATAGAACTAACAGCAATAAGACTCTTCTTTAAATGTCTATACAATTTATTTTGAGTATTTGAGTCCACTAAATCAAATAAATAGAACGAAACTAATGAAATTAACTTAAACACATTTAATATCATAAATAATAATTAATTTAAATAAAACAAAATATTTTTATATACTTTTAAAATTTGTTAAACTTGATCTTATTTTCCTTAGTTTCGTTTTATAATAGTTAAATTAAAATTTATTTTATTTATATTTTTAATCAGTTTCAAATCTCCTGATGCTGGGCCCCTTGATCCTTATTTTTAAAAATAATTAAGAGGTGCTTTCTTTTGTTGCAATTCTTTTAAAAACATTTATGTCCATAGTTGAGAGCTCAATATTTTTATTTAT